ATGTGTCATTTTAAGTCTGAAAAATCACATATACTGTTCAAATTTATTTGTTTTGTTTCCCTAAGTATCACTCAGCTCATATTTCCCTTTGTTTCTCTGCTCACCCCTGCAGAAATCTGTGTTTAGTACTTCTTCAAGGTGTTAAACCTATTTCTCAATGGAGAAAAATAAATTCTAAGGACATAATGACTGCTCAGTAGTATTCAACAAAATCATTTTTTAAGAACCCATTTAACAGTTTAAAACTGAAATTTAAAACTCTGAGGAGACTAACTTAGCCTTTTTTCCAGTTTGAACAGTTTCTGGTATTGAAACATACTGCTATTCCATTCATAATTATGTTGTGAGATACAGTTGAGTTTGGATATGTAAGCAGTCAGCATCTCAGTGCCTTAAAGACCACACAGTTGAAATCACTACACTTACATCTTTGTCCATTACATTCTGGATTCACCAATATTAATAATTAAAGAAAATATAGTTATTTTGAAAAATAATTGGGTAGTAAAACTAAACATATCCCTGCCCTATGTCTCTGCAACCCAATATCTAAGTATATACCCAACAATGGCTGTTTTCCTCCACCGAAAGACATGTACAAGAATTTTCAAAGTTAACTATTCATGAAAACCTGAAACTATTCACAACTCCAATATCCATCAATAAGAGAACTGATAAATTATGGTAGATTAAGAGATACTATACAGCAAACTACTGATACACACAGGGATGAATCTTGTAGACAATAAGTATGTTAATCAAAAAAAGCAGACACACAAAATATGTATTATATGATTCTTTTTTTCCTCCCCCTTTCTGCCGTAAGACACATGTGCTCCCTGGAGAGAGACAGGGTGGGGAAGAGTGCAGAAGAGTAAGAAATCATCCCGGAGTGGGGAGGGCCATGCCACAATCCTTTCCCCTCCATTCTCTTATCAGGATTGTGGGCATGCACACACAGGTGCCTGGTGTGATTTTCAAGCCACTGGGTCCAGGACTCAAACCACACAGTTGGCCATGTAGGATCTAGCTGCCTTTACCTCCCTATCACCTGCTGGCCCCTTATGAGTCTATTAAATAGAAATTCAAGAACAGAAAATATAATCAAGGGTAATAAACATTGAAATAGTGACTACCTTATCAGGGGATAGGGCGTGAAAGTAATTGGCTGAGGAAGTACACAAGTAATATGTATATTCTCATGTAACCACCACCCAGACTAAGCTACGGAGCCTACTAGCTTCATTCCAATGTCTGTCTTGATATGGGTAGTTCTTGTAACATGGAAAAATGTAAATACACACACACACAAACACACACACACATACACACATTGATCAAGCTTCACACTTAAGGTTATGTGCCACCTTATAATTAGCTCAAAATAACTTTCTTTAACTTGATGTATCTAGAAATTATTAAGGGAAAATTTGTATGACAAAAATGCTCACATCCCCTTTATGGAAGTCAAAAAAAAATCCCCTAGTCCCCTTCTTCCCCATCATTTCACAGGGCTCCCAGGGGGTCTAGCTTTGTCTCTACCACAGTCCAGTACCCCTTGTGCGCAGTGCCAGATTCATCTCTTCTGCAGCTGCAAACTTCCTGAAGGCTGTCTGACGTGTGACAAAGCATTCAGCAGATAATTGTTTTTGTGCTATTGAATTGTCAAAAATAAAGAACTCTGAAGCTTACTTTGCTTTTGTTTTTCTAGATGAGCCTTCCATTTTGCATAAATGCCCACCATTGCCCCACTTGTATAATCAGCAAATATTTCTGGAGCCTCTACTAGGACGACATCACAGTCCTTACCTGCTGAGATTCAGTTTGAGCTAATAGACATATGTGAATAATGGTATGTTAGATTCCATAGTAGAAGGGGGAAATGTGCTGGAAGAATAGGAAGGGCATTTATTATGATTTAAAAATTCTGGGAAACAAAGGAGTTAGATCTCTAACCCAACATTGGCATTAAAGGAGGACTTTCTCATACATAGGGAGTAGCTCCAGACAGCCCCTTAACTGTAGTGATTCAGGGGTTGTGAATGGGGCCTGCAAATCACTGGGCACTGTCATGTGCACAGCACCTACTTACTTGACAAGAAAGTCACGAATGATTCCCTAAAACTGGGAGGAGGACAGAAAGCATGACAAGAAGAGCAAGTGAAGAGAGTAGGTGCTAACTTCTACTCAGTCGTTTTCATTGTGACAAGAGATAGGATTTAGGGGAGAGAGCATTTTTCAGGATCAGAGTGACCTGTGAATTTTTAAATCAGAGGGTAAGGAATGACTGGAAGGCAGCGTTACAACATAACTGAAAGGAAAATACCATCTTGGAATTAGAACCTTGGTATCACGAGGGCATGTGATGCGAATCACAAGGAAGAGGGATTTGGCTTAGTCTCAAGAGAAATGAATGTTAAAGTAGGGAATACAGTTAATGAAGGGGATGTCATTTGGGAGCCATTTAACATACATAGGCATGAGTACTGTACAGTGCCTCAGTCCAAAAGTGATCTGAGAGAACTATACAGAAGATTTCTGGAAAGGATATCAGTTTCATAATTTTTTAGAAGGTTTTTGCCATAGGGCGTGTGTACTCACCAGAGAGAGACAGACAGGGAAAGTGTGAAATTACCCCCCAAAGAGGATGGCCACCTGCAATCCCTTCTCCTTCATTCTCCTGTCAGTATTTTGGGCATGTACATACACATGCCTGCTGTCATTTTCAAGCCACCAGGTCTGGGCCTCAAACCAGGGTCATTTATGTGGTAGTCCAGTGCCTTAACCACCACACCACCTGCTGGCCCTTGCATAATATTGTGTAATAGTGCAGTGGTTAAGGGAGCTGGACCCTTCATGGCCCACAGTTGTTTCAGTCCTGGCCCTGGTAGCTAGAAAGCTGTGTCGGGGCAAGTGCATGTATGTTCAAGGCTTGACAGGATGGGAAAATGGAGGAGAAATGATTGTGGCATGACCATGCTCCACTGAGGGGGTACTTAGAAATGCTTTCTCTCTTCCTCTCTGTCTCTCTGTCTCTAATAAACACATGCTCCGTCTACCAATTAAAAAAGAAGTGTCTTTGTGTTGCGTAAATTTACTTTATAAGCCAAGTGATATATAGTGATTGAATGTATAAAATAAATTTTTAAACCATCTACAGAATATTATCTAATAATTTTTACTTCCCTTTCAGAAACAGAATTAAAGTCAAGCAAAACATGTTTCCTGGTTCATCTTTTTTTGTGAACATTTAAAGAGTACCTACTAAGTGCAAATCTAGAGATTAAAATTTCTTTTATTTTACCCACAGTTCCTCACTTCCACCTGTGTCCTTTTTCCAGCGCAGGAAAAATACAGGCTTTACTATGTATTGTTAGACATTAGCTGTTCATAATACATAAAGCTCGATCTTGGACATTTGCTAACTAGGGCAGCTTTAACTATAAAATTACTGCCTTTTTCCCCAAATAATTCTCAAGAGTTTATTGTTAATAATGTGAGCCTAACAGAAATAGCCTTTTTCCCCCTTGATAATCATAAATCTTGCATTGGTAAGACAAAGTATGATGGTATCTGTGTGAATACAATTTAGTTAAATAGTCATACTTTGCATATGAGTGGACACTACGCTAATAGATGTATGCATTAAAATTGGACAGCACTTAAAGAGATTTAATAATTCATCTCATTGCCTCTGCAAATAAAAGAACCAAAGCCCTATTGATGCATTCGCTAAAATATGGCAGATAATGATACATTCGTGTTTAATATTGCCAATAAATTTGGAAGTTCACATTTTTATTGATAAACATTTCCTTGAAATGCAGTCTAGGAGGACAGATTGTTAATTTTAAGTACTTTATAAATGAGAATTGTAGATCGCGATGTGATTAGTGGCAGTAACATGTCAAAAGCCATCTACCAACTTACCTGCTGCTTCTTCCAGCACTCAGCAGTGGTTTTCGTATTTCACTTTTATGTGCAATCAAATTGTACACAATTTTAGGGGGGAAATTAACATGGTAACACAGTAATGGTCATAATAAATATTGTGCTTTTCCTTGCTGGCTTAAATTACAAACTTACAGCATTTCAGAAAAATATTTCTGCTAGTCAAACTTAATATATTAAACTATTTTTCTGTAGAATTTATGTATAAAAAATACTTAAATCTCTTACAAGATTATCTCTTTGACACAGGCACAAAATAGATATATACCATCCAAACAGCTTGAGATCTTAAAATGATTTGTATTCATTGGAAACCATAAAATTGTCATTAATATTTCTATCTGCATAGGCTTTAATGAAATATTATATAGCTCAGGATACCCAAAAGATTTTTTTCCTTTCTTGGGTGAGTTTTCTAAAATTTTGTGAACAAAAATTAAGAAAAATTAATTTATACCTTACAAGTAATAGTCTAGAATTCAACTTAAAATAGCATAAATATATTGGTTATAATAAGAGTTTTGTGATTTTTTAATTATTATGCAAAAGTCTTAGTGTTGTTTCTACTCATTGCCTCTTAACTGATTAGAATGTATGCTTTTCTGAATTCTGTTTTGCATCATTGATAGACTTTATGTCTCATTCTTTTTTCCCATTAAGATTCCAGAAGCTTATTTCATTAGAGATCCCCATACATTCCTTCTTACAAAGGATTTTATTAAGGTATAAATGTTGTATTTAGTGTTCAAAGTGTTCTCTGGTCTCTAGCTGCATGTATATACTCACAGGCTAGGATTTTCACATATAACCCTAGCGTCCAGATATAAGAATAGTGATTTGGTTAACTGAAGCATGTTTGGAAGGAGACGCAGCGCTTGTCTACAAAATACTAACACTTGGATGATTCTGCACCCTGAGAAAAAGAGCACCTGGTGAATTTTCTGGACTTTTTTCATGGCTGACTTGGAATACACTTGCTTGTCTAAGAATTTGTTGACCTCTGTCTTTGATGCATATTGATTATGACAGTCACCCTCCTTCCCCTGCAGGCCATGGAGGCACAGATACAGAACTTTGGACAGACGCCATCTCAGTTGCTTATTGAGCCACATCCGCCTCGGAGTTCTGCCATGCACCTGGTAAGGCATATCACTGTGTTGAATTTTTTTTTTTTCCTTTGCCTTGTACTTGACTATAGAGCAAATAAAACAGCAATTTTAGTGGCATTTTTAAAGGCTTCTTGATTTATTAGTTAACTCTGCAGCCTAAGTACATGATACCCCAGAGAGAAACAAAGAAGAGAGTGTAATTCTTACCTTTAAGCCCTACTTAAGCTAGCCCAATTTCGGATTCACAGAAATGGCCATCTTCTCTATGTATACCTGTACTTAAACTCATTGATAAATAAACAGGCATAGTGCCATGCTGGTACTGAAAATGGATTAGGTTTGTAAATTACAGTGAAAAACCCATTATAAACACAATCTGGTATTGCCAAATTTAATCTTTAGAGAAGGACGGCATAGGTGAAGTTGTCATCTTAAGAAAAAGAAAGAGGGACCAGCAGTTAGCATAATGGCTATGTTGCTGGACTCCCACATAGTCGACCGCGGTTTGAGTCCCGGACCCCATGGCTTACACTCAGCGCCGGGCGCATGTGCATGCACGCACAAGATCCCGAGAGGAAAATGGAGGAGAAAGGATTATGGCGTGGCCATCCCCCCTGGGGGGTGATTTCTCACTTTCTGGCTCTGTCTCTCTCTGTCTGTCTGGTGAGCACACACGCCCTATAGCAAAAACCTCTCAAAAAAAAGAAAAGAAAAGAAATATGAAGGTAATTTAAAGTCACTTTGTCAACAGAGTGGTTAAGAGTAAGGGCCCAAACCTACACTGGAGTCAAACACCATTTCTTCCTCTAAATAGTAAATAACTTGGGCAAAGTTTTTAACTTGTGCTCAGCATTTATAAAATAAGGGTAAAAATAGTACTGAGTATGTCAGCCAGGTGGTGTGATGCTTAAGGCAGCTGGATCCCATAGGGATGACCATGCAGTTGGTGGCCTGAAAAGCGTACCACGTTGGGGGGCGGTGGAGGGTGTGTGTGTGTCCAGAATCCCAAGAGGAGGATGGAGAAGGGATTGTGGTGTGGTCATCCTCCCTGTGGGTACTTTATCACATTCTCTCTCTCTCTCTCTCTGTCTCTCTCTCGTACATACACAGTGTGCACAAGTCCTAAAATAATTAATTAAAAACTACCCACTGATGAGAACTTAATGACTCAGTGCTATATAGCACTTAGACTAGCTTCTACCATGCGATAAGTTCTCAATAACCGTTAGCTGACATCATTACCATTAGCTATTTGTATTAAACCTTTTAGTCACATTTTACAAGGGAAAGTTATATTCTCATTATTTTAATTTTAATTTAAAAACTCCATTTTTATAGCAGAACAATCCTTTTTTAGTTTATTAGCAAATACTAAGTATTTCCCTATATCTAATTTGATGGAGGTAAAAATTTTTCTGAAAAACTTCTTTAGAAGTTATTTTTAAAACTGATTTTTCACTAATTTCTTATTGAAGTAAAAGATGCTGAAGTAAAAACATACTTACAAAATGAATTACAGTACATCAAATTTTCCAGCCCATAATTACAGCAATAACTATCCCAGTTTTGGAAGAAAGCACTCTGGGATACAATCCATAATGTATGTTCAAACAAATTTGTAGTGTTATTTTGTGATAGAATTATTATTAATAACTTTCATTCATTCTATCAGTTATTTTACAATTTTTTTGAAAGAGATTTTTGCTATAGGGTTCATGCATTTGCTGAAGACACAGAGAGATAAAGAGAAAGTGAGAAATCACTCTCATAAGGGATAGCCATACTGCAATACCTTCCCCTCTATTTTCCTCCTGGGATTTTGGGCACTCATGTACATGTGCCTGGCTTGAGTTTCAAGCTGCCAGATCTGGGACTCAAACCATGATCAGCCATGTGGGTATCCAGTACCACAGCCACTACACCACCTGCTGGCCCCATTTTGCAAATTTTGATGGAGCCCCCTCTGAGTATCAGATATGATGCTAAGCATTCTCAGAAATAGCTATATACTCTATACTTTCAAAGAATAGTCAGAATCCTGAAAAATATACAGATAAATGTATTTGTTTTGCATTTTTTTGTGAGGAAGATTAGCTGTGTTGCTTAATGATTAAAGCAGCCTGATCCTACACAGCCGACCCCATGGTTCCAATTTGAGTTCCAGACCTGATGGCTTAGGAAACACACCAGGTGCATGAGCATTCATGGCCAAGCTCCTGGAAGCAGGGAAGGGAGAGAAGGAGTTGCTGAGTGACCATTCTCCGTGATGGGTGTTTTCTCCCTCTCCCTCTCTATGTGTCTCACATGCAAGTACCCTCAGGCAAAAAAAGAAAAAAAAAATTCTCTTTCCGGTAGTTCAGTCATAGTTTCAGCTATGTCACTTAAAAAACTCTTTGATTGCAGCTGGTCCTTCTCTGTGACAAAACAGGAAGTTTTGCACCAGGCACGAGCTGTTCCCATACAAACCCCTAACCGCAGTGTAGACTTGGGGATGCAGCCTTGGAGTCTTAAGACTGGAGATGAAGCCATTTTAATAAACTGTCCAAGAGAATATCTCTCACACTTTATTTTATGAAATGGTTTGGCAGAAGAATTTTATTCCCGTGTTAGTTTTCTCTGTTTAATACTACCACTACTACTAATATTTATCCTGGAGAAATGCCCAGCCAGAATCTGTTACTTTCCTAGGGGAAATTGTAACAGCCCAAATTGGCATGGAACTTTTTATTAAGAAAATTTAACTTTCATGTAAGTTCACATAGCAGAGAATTCATATACACAGCACACAATTACAACACATATGGAAGATAAATAATGATTATTTTCAGCATTCCTTTTTTGTACTTTTTATATGCAGGTATTTATGGTGTTTTGTAGTACTAACAATACATACTTTCTATCAAGTCATATGCTAGATATTTGAGAAACAAAGGTTAAGAAAAGCAAAGGAAGTAGCACTGGCCCTCAGTACGTTCGCATTCGTGAGGGAAGAGGAGGAAGAACTTGTGGCACCCGTGTCGGAGCAGAAACGTGTGCAGAGCACTGACAGGGGAGCTCTCCAGAGGCTTTCTGGAAGCTGTTCTATTGTGATTCTTCTGTCTGTAGTCATGCCTCTTATCAATCAGATAGAAATGAAAGTATTCATTCATTTTATATTTTGTATAAACTGTATCTGTCACTATGTTAGTCACTGACTTAACTAATTTTCCCATCAAACTGATTTTTTAATTGGACCAAATAACTATGTTATGTCACGTGGACATTTCCACGGGCTAACTTTTCACAAAACATCTGGTGATACTTAAATTGAGGCTGATTGTTAATAATTTAGTATCTTATATCAGTGGCTAACAGCCTTTGCTCCCTTTTTTTTAGCTACTCTTTTCTTTTTAGAGGAAAACACAAGACTAAGTTCATTTTATACAATGTTATTCACACATTTTTCATTTTCTAATTTATGCATAATATATAAAGAAGTGAAGACAACATTTTTTCATATGAATCAATAAGAGCCGGGCCTTAGACATACTGGTCCATAAACAGTCCATATCAAAAGTTCATTTATTTATTCCTGTGAACAAGGCAGCTCTAGATCATGGTGTGCTCAGCCAGATCTCCCAGCACAAACCCAGAATCTTCCCATGTGTCTCAGCCCCGCAGTGTCGTTTTTCACCACCCTGCCACTGTCTGACCCCGCCTGGCTCCGGCAGGCATTCCTCAGTAAGAAAGTTCCAGTCGCTTGGATCGTCCTGTATGTGCCCATGCTAGCCTTGTCTGTTTTAACCTCGTTCTCCCTAGACCTCTCACTAACTACATTATCCCTTTTGTTTTCTTCTGCTCTCTTCCCTTTCTATTCAACAGTGTTTCCTTCCACAGAGTCCACTCATGTTTAAAGATCAGATGCAACAGGATGTGATAATGGTGCTGAAGTTTCCATCCAATTCTCCAGTCACCCATGTGGCAGCCAACACTCTGCCCCACCTGACCATCCCTGCAGTGGTGACAGTGACCTGCAGCAGACTCTTTGCAGTGAATAGATGGCACAACACAGTAGGTACGTGAGCCTGAGAAAGTCACTTACTAAAGGTTTTCTAAAACTACAGTGAAGGTAAGAGAAGTGTGCTCAGGTTTGCTCAAATGCCACACTGTCGACAAAAACAGCAGATTAGGGGACCAGCAGTTAGCGTAATGGCTATGTCGCTAGACTCCCATGTAGCCGACTGCGGTTCAAGTCCAGGACCCAGCAGCTTAAACTCACGCCACGCATGTGTACGTGCGTGTGTCCCCAAGATCCCAAGAAGATAATGGAGGAGAAGGGATTGTGGTGTGGCCATCCCCCTGGGGGGTGATTTGTCGCTTTCTGTCTCTCTGTCTTTCTGGCAAGCACACTCTCCCTGTAGCAAAAACCTCTCCAAAAAAAAAAAAAACAGCAGAGTAAATAATCATCAGACTTAACTCTCTAACTTGTCTTACTCACTGCTGTATATTAGTTCCTCACAGAGGATTTGGCTCAGAGCTAAATACTCAGTAAATATTTGATAAGGTAAAATCGTTCTACATATCATTCAGTTCCTCCTATCCTTTTCTACCATGCCACCTCCCCCAAAACAAAAATCCATTTTTATCCAGTGGTAAACAAAAGTAAGTTTGAGCCTGAAGTTTTCTAGATGATGGATTGATCCTCTTTCCTCCACATCAGAAATGTATTTAGCAAATATTTGAATAGCCTTGGTGTGTCAACAAATCCTCAACACTGAAAATACAGAAATGAACAGGACAAACACTGTCTCTACCATTATGAAGCTTGGAGTCTTCGAGAAAAGAAAATCTCATTTAGTTAGTGATTTTACATGTGTTTTTTCCAAACTTATTCCTAAAGCTCTAGCTAGTACATCTTGAAGTGATAAAATGCTGTCATAGAAATTTAGATATATTGATAGCTATTTAATCAGGGCAGGAGTGGATATGACCCAATGATTTACTTGGCCCAGTTTATCACTGACGGTCTCCCTGGAAGCCCCAGGACTCCCAATACCTCCAGGACTGAATAGATGAGCCATGCTAAACTAACCTGAATCTTCCTATTCTACAGACTTCTACATTGCTGTGAAAAAAAAAATACAGTGATTTATACCATAGCTTTATCTCCTAAGAGTTTCTAAATGCATCTTTTTTATGGTCATTGGCAATATTATCAACATGAGCTAGTGCTACTTCCATTCCATCAGAAATATGCAGCAACCATCCTTAGGAAAAAAATACGACTTTATTATTCATAGGCATCTCAGCCTCTACAGATGTTTTACATTGACAGAAAAGTATAGTGGACTGTGTTTTTCTTAAAAATTGTTCAAAAGCATATATATGAACACATGTGAAAAATGATGAGTAGTGAACTTAAGCCCTAAACATTAATCCCCTGAAAGTAGCTTTTTAGTGAAATTAAGGTTTTTAGGTGAGGCCCAATTTCATACCTCCACTTTCTAGTCATCTATTGACAGAAGGGGCTCTGGATGGAAGCCCCAACCCCTCTGAGCCCTGCTCCAGGTGAGTTGGGGCTCACACATTTCTTCTTGGAAACCTGGCCTTTTCTTTGATTTCAGGCACGTTTTGGTTATCCGGTGGCCATAACTTTCTGTTGGGTTCCAGAAATGTTACAGCCTTCTGATTCATCAAGCCTTTGTTTATCATTGGGATGGACAATACTTTTCCTAGCATTGTACATCTTTATTAGAATCCCGAAGTGCCTCCTGTGATGATAAGACTATCTGTAATAACACATAATATGACTGAGTCAGTCTTGTTTTTGTTTTTAAGAGTTAGAGAGAGAGAAAAAAGTACTCCTCAGTAGTCACACTGCACTTACCTACAGTTATCCATCCCATCAGGATTTAGGGCACATGTTCACATGCCTGGTGTGAGGCCAATGAGGCAAGCTTGAATCTCAGTCATCCCTGGGTGATCCAGCTTCCTTCATGCCATGCCTAACCACGGTGTTCTGGGGCCAACCTGACTGAATCTTTCCTAGAATGATATACCAAATAAAATTTGAGCAAATGTACATTTCATGCAATCATAAAATACTACTCAGTAGATAATTACTCCTTTATGAGATTAAGTTTTCTCTCTCTCTTTTTTTTTTCTCCTCAATTTTTAGGTCTCAGAGGAGCTCCAGGATACTCCTTGGATCAAGCCCATCATCTTCCCATTGAAATGGATCCACTAATTGGTATGTTAACAAACAAAAATAAATTTTCATGGATATTGTCTGTCTATAGAATTGTATTTGCTTTTTTTTCTCCACAAAAGAGAGCTGAATAATATTGTATGGCATCTAAGAACTTTTTGTATGAAAGCAATTATTTATGACATTTTCTTGATATTTTAAGAGGTCAATCTATTTGGTTATAAAAAGGGTAAATAATTCCAAACTGTCCTTTCTTTCAGCCTAAACTATAATAACTCTTTATTATTTAAAAATATAAGGATTTAAAGAGGTTATTAAAGGAAGCTAATGCTGAAGAATATCTTTTCTATAAATCTCTCTGCAATAGGACTAAGCATTTTTTTGTTTCTTATGAATTGCAAACTCATGAGCTTTAACTCTGCAGCAGATAGATTATTCAAAATAGTTTAAAATAATCATATACATATTTATTAGTCATATGAACAAGAGTAAGCTTCCTTAATCTTTCCAGGCCTCTCAGTTTCATCTCTGCAAGATAATTTATAATAATGTTTGTTCTACTTGTCTCCTAAGATCATTTAGAAAATTAAATTATAAAAAAATTGAAAATACTGTGAAATATTATTAAGCAATAGTACAAGTTATAGTGTTTTCTTCTTAGATTAATTCACCCTTCATTTTTGAACCCAGAAATAAGATACAGCTATTTCAGTTAGTTTCTTACACTCCTACACAAAATATCATTTATATTTGTTTGGGAGGACACAAGGTTTTAAGACTAGGAATAGTTTTAGAATGTAGTCTAACTATTGTTCTGTTCAATAATGCACACTGACAATGAAATATTCAGCTAGTGTACAACTCTGAAGAAATTAATAGCTCAATTCAATATCAAGGACCAATTAAACATTGATAGTTTTCAAATGACCAAAGACCTTGGTATTCTTTTCTCTTGCTGTCTTTCCTTTATGATGTTTTTATTGTTTAACTTCCCTAGTAATTATTTTTGTAGTTTTAGTAGATATCTACATATAGTAGCACTTAGATTTAATTGATGTTGCATGGTGGTGGTGGTGACCTACATCTGCATTTTCTGTTTAAGAATTCAGCCCAGGGATTTAGCCTGAAAGGATGGCGTAGAGTAAGGGACCGGCTGGCATACAGACAGGCACTGGGGAAATCAGATAGTGTCTCTGAGTTCCTGACTTTATTCAGATTCAGCCCCAGTGCTATGCACTGATTCTCTGCCTGTCTCTTTCCTACCTAATTCTTCTCCCATTTTTATTCCTCTCCTCCCCTGCCAACCCTTTCTGGAAAAGCCTTCTGTTTGTTGACAATCCAGGTCTTTAAAGCTGCTGACCTAAAGCTCCCTGTGGGGCCGCCCACATAACAACATCTCTTGCTCAAATCTCTATCCTCTTCATTTCAAATGAATTGTAAATGCCATCAGAAAATGGTAGAGTAGGACAAATATGAAGATATACTTTCCGTATATAATATATATCATACAGTCTTTATTTCTCATTTGGTACTTATTGGACTCTAATGAACTTTTGTGTAGTGAACATCTATAGAATTCAAATAGTTTAAATTAAATGCATGTAATGATTTTTATTATGTTTTAAATTCATCATCTTGAATTCTTCTTACTGTTTTTATTTATTGGTGGAGGAAGAATTTAAATTTCTTACATAATTTTAAAATATGTAATATGCTTCACAAACAATCACTGCTATTAAGAACATTTACATTCCTCAAGGGAAAATGTTAAAATCTCAATAATCGTGCAACTTTAAAAACTTATTTCCAGATAAATGAAGCAAAAATATTTTTCCCTTCTATGAAAAGTTTATTGGTAAAACCAACAGAATGATTCTGTAAATTACTTTTTTCTGTTTACTTTTAGCCAATAATTCTGGTGTGAACAAAAGGCAGATAACAGACCTTGTGGACCAGAGTATACAAATCAATGCACATTGTTTTGTAGTCACAGCAGATAATCGCTATATTCTCATCTGTGGATTCTGGGATAAGAGCTTCAGAGTTTATTCTACAGAAACAGGTAATCTTAGCTGTGAGATACCTAGTCGTTCTCTTCAAAATGGCTATTGCTACAACCAAAGTTTGAGGCGATATCATACTTAATAATGTAGGCAGTCTCATCATTTGCCAACCTGAGGGGTGAAGATCCAAATTAAATGCTCACATTGCACGTTAAATAGCTAATTATAACCCACCTATTCTGATCTTTGGCATGTCCCTTGGTTTATAGGACAAATGGAGTTATTGTCCCCTTTCCAGTAAAATCCTTAAACCTTCTCTTAGTCTATCCCAAACTCTGAAGAGAAAAATCCTAATTGTGTATAAGTTATTTCCGTAAAATTCCCAAGTGACTTTCTTTTTAGGTTTTTCTGTTTCTTGTTGTTTTTAGCTTTTTTTCCCTATAGGATGCGTGCCTTTGCCAGAGAAAGCAGAGAAACAGACAGAGGGAAAATGAGAAATGATCCCCAAGGGGGGATGGCCGTGCTGCAGTCCCTTCTTCAGTTTCCTCTCGGGATTCTGGGCATGCATACACACTTACTCAGAAGGATTTTCAAGTGCCATGTTCAGACTGCAGTAGGCCATGTGGGAATTCAGAGCCTTAACCACCATGCCACCTACTGGCCCCTCCAAGTGACATTTTGCAAAGCAGGGCAAGAAAGAACCTGTAGCTAGATTTGAATTGACTTATAAATTTGAGTCTATAGAGTCTCTGTTCACAAATCTGATAAAATTGAATTATACCCTTACTTAAACTGGTATTTAAAGAAAGAAGAGTAGATGAAGTAATCCTGACATTTCTGTGTTGCAGGGAAGTTGACCCAGATTGTATTTGGCCATTGGGATGTGGTCACTTGCTTGGCCAGGTCAGAGTCATACATTGGTGGGGACTGCTACATTGTGTCTGGATCTCGAGATGCTACCCTGCTTCTCTGGTACTGGAGTGGGCGGCACCATATTATAGGAGACAACCCTAATAGCAGTGAGTATTTACCTAATCAGACTAAATTTGTTTAAATATTTTGCATGTTTTATTGGCCTAATAGTCCCTGAGGTTGCAAGGATTTTAAAATATGAAGCTTAGGTAATAATAATAGTAATAATATCTTTATTGGGATGTTAGTTCATAGTTTATAGATTAGTAACTATTGAATACTAATCAGACTAAATTTGTTTAAATATTTTGCATGTTTTATTGGCCTAATAGTCCCTGAGGTTGCAAGGATTTTAAAATATGAAGCTTAGGTAATAATAATAGTAATAACATCTTTATTGGGATGTTAGCCATCTTCATAGTTTATAGATTAGTAAGTATTGAATAGTATCATCTTCAACCTGGGGATACTCCTAGATCCCTTCATGTTGACCCCTTCTGCTATCTTTACATGTCCCTATTCTTCAAAAATGTTTTTTAGTGTCACCTGGTCCATTAAATTTCATGTGATTTCTCTGAGCTCAATATAACCTCTTCCTTCTCTGGATTTCCATAAGATTTTGTGGATTTTGTGTATGTGTGCATGTGCTTCAGTCAAGACATTTACTCCTTTATACCCTGTAGACTAGTAAATTTCTGTGTTTATTCATTTAACAAGCAATGATGGAGTATCCCTTTCAGATTAGGCAAGGGGTGGGTTGGGAGTTGCAAAACCTACATAAGACTATTTTTCTTGCTTAGGATAATTCTTCAACTATTTCGTATTCAACAGTGTCCCCTAAGATGTCCTGTAGGAAAAAAGGGTAACTCCACGATAAAATAGTTTTAGAAACATCACATATATTCTATGTGTGCTCTGAAAGTTTCATACAAATACATCACTTACATTTGTTTGACCCATAGTCTCTCAAACTTACTTTTTCATGGAATTTTTTGTTCATGTGAGATCAGTTATTAGTCCTTAAACCACTATCCTGAGGAAACACTCCAGAGTCTCTCCCTCTTCATTTGCAGTCATAGTGACACATCGATGGGTTTCCAGTGAATATTGTTAAATGATTGAAGAGCCAGATAAGAGATTGCCTAGAAACAATTGCTGCTTTTAATTACCAAGACTTCAGTAGTTCAAATGTATGTGTTTCCGTAAAATGTGTAATGGTTTCTGTAAAACATTGAAAATGACAAGTACCTTACCGACGGCTATATAAATTATAATCCATCTATCAGTCCCAATATAAACAGTATGAGTTTGGGGAAGATTTGTGACCCAGCAGAGATAAGAACTTCCCAGGAATCCTGTATCTACTGGAAGAAGAGATAAGAAGTCTCCAAGAAGCCATGTTACAGCTGTTTGGGTGGAGGGACCTCACTGATCAGGTCCAGTCTGAGAGAGAGCTAGGGAAGGACACTGGATTGCACATCACACTTTAAAGCCCACTCCCTCCCCCTCAACTCTCATGTGTCTTAATAAGAACATGGCAAAAATAGGAAATAGCTTTTGATAAATAGGAACAAGGGCCTCATCATACTATAGAAGAAAATTTAAGAAGATAGTGGGAGATTGAACTTGATGACCAGATGTTATGTGAAAATTTATTCTTATTGTCCATAACTACAGTTACAAAAACATGGATGACAAAACTAAGAACATGTGGGACCAACAGTTAGTGTAATAGCTATGTCGCTGGACTCCCATGTAGTTGACCACGGTTCGCATCCCGGACCCAGTGGCTTAAAACTCACACTGGGCACATGTGCGTGTTTGTCCAAGATCCCAAGAGGAGAATGGAGGAGAAGGGATTGCAGCATGGCCATCCCCCCTGGGGTGATTTCTCATTTTCTGTCTCTCTGTCTCTTTCTGTCTGGTGAGTGCATGTGCCCTATAGCAAAACAAACCTCTCCAAAAGAAAAAAAAAACAAAACTAAGAACATGTTATGAACTCATGTATGTCTCTTGGCCAAGGGACTGAACAAGGTGTGTATTTTTACATTTGTCTCTGCTTTAAACTGTGAGCAAAGGTGTGATACTCATTTGAGGGAGAAATACTCAATTTTGTTTGATTTCCAACCATTCTAATAATTGGCTACCAATTCCATGTGATTAGTGAACATCATAGTCAACATAATAATAAATTGATCTTTTTTTTTTTTGAGAGGTTTTCGCTATAGGGCGCGTGCGCTCGCCAGACAGACAAAGAGAGACATAGAGACAGAAATCGAGAAATCACCCCCCAGGGGGATTGGTCACGCCACAATCCCTTCTCTTCCATTCTCCTCTTGGGATCTTGGGCATACACGCACACACGCCCGGTGTGAGTTCTAAGCCACCAGGTCTGGGACGCGAACCGCGGTCGACTACGTGGAAATCCAGCGACATAGCCATTACGCTAACTGCTGGTTCCCCAATAATTAATTGATCTTATTTGTTCTTAAACCATATCCTTAAAAATATGTTCAGTTTGAACCAACCCCATGGCCTAGTGATTAAGAGAAGTAGGTTCCATGTGAACAACTGCAGTTAGAATCCCAGTCCCAGTGGCTTCAAAACACAACTGGTGTGTGTGCGCGTGCCAGCCCAAAATCTGTACAGTATGGAGACCTGAAGGAGAAGAGATTTCAGCCTGCCTACACCTCATTGGGAAGTATTTTATCCCTCTCTTCGTCTCTCTGTATCTCCCCAAAGAACACATGTGCCCTTTCTTTGGTAATTAAAAAAAAAAAAAAAAGAAAGTGTTTTTTTTTTTTTTTTAGAGATTTCTGCAATAGGACACGTGCACTTGCCAGAGAGAAAAAGAGAGAGACAAAGAAAGAGACAGAAAGCAAGAAATTACCCCACAGGGGAGATGGCCGTGTCACAGTCCCTTCTCCTCCATTCTCCTCTTGGGATTTCGGGCATGCATGTACACATGCCAGCGTAAGTTTCCAGTCGCTGAGCCTGGGACTCAAACCACCGTCGGCCACATGGGAATCCATCACCTTAACCACGCTACCACCTGCAGGCCCAAAAGTGTTCATTTTTAACTGAAATTTAGTGTGTCTGTGTATGCATTTGTGTGTGTATGTGTGTATAAGACATTTGACCTACCAGTAATAGCTTCATTATTCTCAAATAGGTGCATTATCACATATATTTTATCTAAATGTATTTTTGCATATTTTCCAATTTTCTTATTTCATAGTAGTATAGCATTACTTTTAAAAGTTTAATCAAGCAGGACCAGCAGATAGTGTAATGGTTACATCACCAGACTCTCACACGGCCAACTTCGGTTTCAGTCTCAGACCCAGTGGCTTCAAATTCACACAGGGTGCGGGTGGATGCATGCCCAAAATCCCAGGAGGAAACTGGAGGAAAAGGGACTGTGGCATGGCCATTCCCTGGGGAAGTGATTTTTCACTTTCTCTCTCTCTCCCTCTCTCTCTCTCGCTCTCTAGCAAGCGCATACACCCTTTAGCAGAAATTTCTCCTTTTTAAAAAAAAAAGTTTAATCAAGTGGTAAGTCTATATAGTATCTTCTGTATGTGTTGACAAAATTACAGAGGTTATTAGATAGAAAAAATTTTTAAAGAGATAAGAGTTTTAAACCTAATTAACTGACATTCTTCAACACAGAGCTCAGAAATTATGTGAATGTTCTTTCCAAAAATAAGATTCACTTTTTAAAAACTACAGAGATATTTTACATATACTGCTATGAGGCAAAGAATGTTAAAGAAAAATGTTAAATAATAATTTTTGTGCTATCTACCTTTATTTTCTAATGATCTTTTAATCAAAAGATGTTTAACTATTGAGTGTAGCTTTGGTATATCAGTTAGCAGAAAACATTAAACATAATATTGAAAGTGTTTAAAATTTCTTACAACAGGAGCTGTGTGAAACAAAATGTATATGTTAATCCTTAAAAACAAAATTTCAAATGTTTGTTAAAAAGCAGGTTTTTATTTAAGCTTTAAATAAGGACAAGATTATTCTTGAGAAATTATGACAGAAGATTACCGATACGGATTTTTCAGTATAACCTTCATCAATAAGAATTTATTTTTTGGCAAAAAAAAATGTCATCATTATGAAGCTAAACCACTTGCATAAAATCTACCCTCTCAAGACTTCAATGCATATTTAATGTAGACATGTGTAATAGAGCTTCCATTAATCTTTTTTTTTTTGAGAGATTTTCACTGAAGGGCGCGTGCGCTCGCCAGACAGACAGAGAGAGACATAGAGACAGAAAGTGAGAAATCGCCCCCCAGGGGGGATGGTCATGCCGCAATCCCTTCTCCTCCATTCTCCTCTCGGGATCTTGGGCACGCATGCACACGCGCCCGGCGTGAGTTTTAAGCCACCGGGTCCGGGACACGAACCGCGGTCGACTACGTGGGAGTCCAGCGACATAGCCATTACGCTAACTGCTGGTTCTCCATTAAATTTAATTTAAGATTAATATAAGAATAAGCAGGATGAGCACCAAAAGTATTATTAAAGCAACAAGTATGAATGGAATGCCCACTGCGTGCCTGGTTCTGTGTTAGCAGCTGGAAATGCTGGCTGGTCAGTCTTAATATTCAGGAGTTTACAAGGATCTATATTACACTGCTCTCAAAACTGCTTTTCCTGCTTGGGTGTACTGAGTATATTGCGTATTCACTACATGAATTGCTATTGAATAATATTTTCTATCATAAGCACTTTGAACATAAAATCCTTCACATTACATCTTGGGTACAGATTGATGATGATGTAAAAAACTAGTTTTAGCTTTTTGCCGTAAGGATAATCACAACAAAAACAGAAAATCAGATTTAGTTTTCAGTTAACTTGATTGATTCATGACGCATTAGTCTATTGAAACAGCTGACCTAGTAGCATATATATATCTGACTAGAGCAACCACGCACCTTGGGCAGTTCACTTTTGTTAAAGGCAGTCACAGCATAAATAGAGTTGACTATCATATCAACGATTGGCTCTTATTGCGACATAAATATAGTCGTTGCCATCAGAAAACTCACATAAAAGAAAAAGGTTTTTTTTTTTCTGTTTTTGT